CATCCTTGTTTTGTACCATTTTTTAGCAGAAAAACTTTCAGCTTTTCCCCATTCAGGAATATTCGCTATGATTTTTTATAGGTAGCTTTTATTGTGTTGAGGAATGACCCTTCTATGCCGATTTTTCTGAGAGTCTTGATCATGAAGAGGTGTTGTATTTTATCAAATGCTTTAGCCACATCAATTGATATGACCCATATGGTTTTTAATTTTTCTTTCTGTTAATATGGTGTATTTATGGTTTTGCATATGTTGAACCATCTTTGCACCCCTGGAATAAAGCCTACCTGGTCATGATGTATAATCTTTTTTATACATTGTTGGATACGATTTACTAGTATCTTGTTGAGAATTTTGAGTCTGTATTTATTAGAGATATTGGTCTATAGTTTTTCTTCCTTGTCCTTACCTTGTCTGTTTTAGGGATAATGGTGATGGAGGCTTCATAGAATGATTTTGGGAAAGCTCTACCCCTTTGGGTCTTTAGAAATAACTTGAGTAGAATAGAAGTTAACTCTTTACAGGTTTTGTAGAATTCAGAGGTGAAGCCATCAGGACCAGGGATTTTCTTCGTTGGGAGATTATTACTGATTCAGTCTTATGGCTTGTTGTGGGCCTATTCAGACTGTCTACATCCTCCTGACTCAATCTTGGTAGATTCTATATGTCCAGGAATTTGTCCATATCATACAGTTTTTCTTGTTTGTTGGTGTATAATTGTTTGTAATATCTTCTAGTGATGTTTTGTATTTCTGTTATGTCTGTTGTTATATTGCCTGCTTCATTGCGAATTTGATTTATCCTTTCTCTCCTCTTCTTAATTAGTCTAGCTAGTGGTATATCGATTTTGTTTATCTTTTCAAAGAACCAGCTTTTACTTTCATTTATTTTCTGTGTAGTTCATGTTTTCTATTTCATTTATTTCTGCTTGGATCTTTATTATTTCTTTTCTCCTAGAGTTTTTTGGATTTTTTTCTTTTTTTTGCTATTGCTTTTCCAATTCTCTGGGGCATGATGTTAGATGGTTCATTTGCCTTTTTTCAATCACCTTCTTATGTGTGCTAATTGCTATGAACTTCCCTCTTAAGACTGCTTTTGCAGTGTCCCAAAGATTATGGAAAGTTGTGTACTCATTGTCATTGGCTTCCATGAATCTTTTGATTTCATCCTTTATTTCTTCAGTAGTTGTGAAGTCATTCAGGAGTATGTTATTTAGTTTCCACGTATTTGTGTATTTTTGAGGATTTTTTTCTTGAAATTAATATCAAGCTTAATTCCATCATGATTGGAGAAGGCGGTTGATGTAGATTCTATGCCTTTGAATCTGTAAAGGCTTGCTTTGTGCCCTATTATGTGGTCAATCTTCCAAAAGCTTCCCTGTGGGGGTGAGAAAAAAGTGTTTCTTGTGGTTTTTGGGTGAAAGGTTCTATAGATGTCTGTTAAGTCCAATTGATTTATGGTATCATTTAGATCCTTAATCTCTTTGCTAATTTTTTGGTCTAGATGATCTGTCCAAAGGAGACAGTGAGGTGTTGAGGTCCCCAACAATTAGTTTGTTGCAGTCTATCTCTCCTTTTAGATCTAATAGTCTTTCCTTCACATATTTGGGTGCTCCTGAGTTAGGTGCATAGATAGTTATAAACATTATATCTTTTTGATGGATTAGCCCCTTTAGTACTATATACCCTTTTTGTCTCTTCAAATAGTTTTTGTTTTAAAGCTCATTTTGTCAGAAATTAGAATCGCAACTCCAGGTCTTTTTTGGTTCCCATTTGCATGGTATACCTTTTTCCAGCCCTTCACCTTTAGTCTGTGTATGTCTTTATCCATAAATAACCTACTCCTGAATGACTACACAACTAATGAAGAAATAAAGAATAAAATCGAAAGAGTTATGGAAGCCAATGACAATGTTTCTGCCACTGGGAACGAGTTTGCTTCCCTTTCTTGTAAGCAGCATATAGAGAGTTTCTGGTGTTTATCTATATCTATCTATCTATCTATCTATCTATCTATCATCTATCTATCTATCTATCTATCTATCTATCTATCTATCTATCCTATCCTATCCTATCCTATCCATTCCACCAGTCTTTGTCTCTTGATTGGAGAATATAATCCATTAACATTCAATGTTATTATCAATATTTCTGGACTTGTCCCTAACTTTAAGTTGGCCATTGTCTTGGTTGTCTTTTATTTTCTTATGTCTGTCTGTTTAGTCTTTAGTTTTCCTAAAATAGGATTCTCTTCAGAGTTTATTGAAGAGCTGATCTGGTGTTAGCAAATTCTTCCAGTTTTTTTTTTTTTTTTTTGTCTGAGAAGATTTTAATCTATTTTTTCCTGTTTGAAGGATAATCATGCTGGATATAATAATTTTGCTTGAAATTGTTTCTTTCTTAACATTTTCAATATGTCTTCCCATTCTTTCTTTGTTGCATTTTTTTTCTGTTGAAAGGTCCAGTGTTAGCCTGATGGGATGACCTTTGTAAGTCACTTGATGTTTCTCTCTTGCCAATTTTACTATCTTGTCTTTATCTGTGGTTTTGGCCAGTCTGGCTAAGAAGTGTCTTGGAGAAGATCTTCTTGAGTTGATTCTATTTGGGGTCCTTTGTATTTCTTTGGTCTGGTGTGTAAGTGCTTCTCTAGATTTGGAAAAGTTTTCTGCCAGTATTTCATGGAATAGATTTTCCATGCCCTTATTAGTTTCTTCACATTCTGGGATACCTATTATTCCAATGTTTGGATGTTTAATGGAATCTAGTGTTTCTCGTAGATTATCCTCATTTTGTTTTTGTTATTTTCTCTATCTTATTCTTTTTTTTTTCCTTTTCTGGGTCAGTGATTTTTATTTTCTACGTCCAAGATTTGATCTTCAGCAAGGTCTAATTAGTTTTTAATACTTTTGAGAGAGGTTTTGTTTTCCTGTATTATAGACTTCATCTCTAGTAGTTCCATCTGATTCTTTCTTATGGTGTCCATTTCTTCTTTCAAATTGTGGAAGGACTCCCTCATCTCCTGGAGTTCATTGTCTATGTTCTGTTCCAACCCATAGAGTTTTGTTACTATGAATGTTCTGAATGGTTTCTCTGACATTTTGGTAACTTCTGTTTTTTCAAGAGATGAAAGGGAGTTATTGTATTCTTTTTATGGAGACAGCTTTCCTTTTTTTTTTAAACTTGAGGGTCTTCTGCAACTCCTAGGCATTGGGTGATGTATTCACTTTTAGATACTGTTTTGGAGAATGTTTCTGCCACTGGGAACAAGTTTGCTTCCCTTTTGCTGTGGATTGATATGTGCCGAAGTCTCTCTTCTGCTATGTTTAGTAATGTGGTCCCCACATTGGTCAAGGTCATTTGCAAGAACAAGTCGGTTTCTAAAGAAATCTTATTTGGTAGGTGAAGGATCCACTAAAAAATTCTCATTAGTTTCTGTATTCTGATCCACTGGTCCTAAAATTTCTTTTTAAAGGGCTTGTGGAAGGAACTATAAAAGCCCCCTTTTCTGGTCTTGCCTGGGATTTTAGTCGCTGAAAGATGTTTGCTCACTTTCTCTTTCTTCCTTTGGACAGAATCTGTTAGTGTCTTCTAAAAGCATCTCTTTCAAATAGGTCTGCTTTTTATTTTGGCACCTCTGTTGGAGGAAGAAGGTTCGTTCGGGGCAGATCCTAAGCAGAGGCAACCGGGCTATGCAGCCACACAGTGGGTGTGCTCTGCCTTCAGCAGTGGCAGGGCCACCGCTTTTGCTGCCTACAGGTCGACCATGTGTTTTTGTTCATTCAGTCATCACAATAACCTGAAATATTCAGGTTAGTAAATAGTGTATAATTTTTAGGTACCTATAAGTATTACAAAACTTACTTTACCATTGTGTGTATCTAGTAATAATTTCTTCTTATTTTCTTTTGACAGAGATTTTTGCTATAGAGCATGCTCATTGCAGAGACAAAAGAGATTTTTGCTATAGGGTGAACTTGCTGTAGTGACAGAGAGAGATTGGGAGTCAGAAAGTGAGAGATTGCTCCCCGGGGGATGACCACATCTCAATCTCTTCTCTAGTCTCCTCTCAGGATTTTGGGCATGCATACACATGCACCCGGCATGAGTTTTAGGCTACTGGGTCTGGGACTAAAACTGTGATTGAGTACATGGGAATCCAGCGACATAACTATTATGCCATTTGCTGGTCCCACTAGTAATAATTTCAACTTGCATTTTACTTTACAGTTTTCAAAGTACTTCTGTTAGTTAATTATTCAGTCATAATGGCTAATTCAGTGGGGGAATAAAAAAGCCTTTCTTCTATCTTGTTAGGTTTTGCAGCTAAGGCCCGCTAATTAACAAAAGACAAGTGAACAGGAGAAAAGGCATAACTTTATGTGATGTTAATATTTTAATTTTTATGTACGTCGAGGCCTTCACAGAAAAGAAGTGAAGACCTCAAAACCTGTTAGACCTAGGTCTTATGTAACATTTTAAGAATGGGCAAGAAATTGTGGAGAAGTAACAAGACAAAGGAAAAGTTGTTTGGGTTGTTAGGGACAGTAAATTGTGAGGAAGTAAATATGTGACGAAAACTGATGGGAGGACTTTATTGTCCCGGATCCTTGTCAGTGCCATCGTTCTCCCTCTAGTGATAAAGGTTTGTTTGTTTGGTATGGGAGAGGGGAGGAAAGATATCATTACAAAGGGAAATTTCTGTCCTGCTTTTAGGCAGAGAGAGAGAGAGAGAGAGACAGCAAAGAGCTATTTCTATGTTTTCTGGTACCTAATTGCCTTTGGGGCAAAATAAACCTTATGCAAAAGTAACATATTTTGGGGTGGCAAGTACTGATCCCCTTCTATCCCCTAAGTTCAAAAAATAAAAACATTAGTCATAATTCTATGATCATAACAACTATATCACTGCTTGTTTCCTTTTAAACAAGTAAGACAGATTGTCTTTAGCAGGTCTTATGGAAGTGTGTTGAGATTTTGCAAATGTATGGTTTTTGGTTATAGGTGAGAGTATCTTAGTTTGTAAGATCTCTGAGAAATCAAAAGGCACAGCTCTGCTTCAAGGATCTCTAAAGCCTGTTTGTAGCTGTCTGCGAAGACATGAAGGAGAAGAAGTAACTGCCTGCATGATACGAGCTATTCTGGAGGTAAGAGAGAGTGGTCCTGTATCTTTCCTAGAGCTAGTCCTGTATCTGTTCATTTTATAACAGTGATTAAAACCAAATGCCAGGTGGTTCTTTTTTTTTCTTTTTCTTTTTTGATATTCTTCATTCTTTTCTGAATTTAAAGAAAGGGTGACAAAAATGGACCCTAGTTCCTCCATTCCAAATAATGTCTATTGATATTAAAATAAAATCAAGTTACAAACACATGTAATTAGAAGTTTTCAATAACAAAGAAGGATAAAAAATGAAAAATACATCTTCTGCTCAGAGTAACCCCTGTCCAGTGTTTCACCTGCCCATTCAGAAACGTTTCTATGCAAATATCAGCATGCCTTGGTATTGGTTTCAATACTGGTATCTGTAGTCATATTCCTTTTCCTCCCCCTTTCACCATGAGCTTAAAGAAAAAAAAAGAAAGAAAGAAAATCCTTGATAACCTAAGGTTATTAGAGCTGTAAAAAGCAGGTACTTTCATGCACTGGGAAATGCTTTCTGAGGGCAACTTTCCAGACCTACTCAAATAAAAATGCATATGCACATTTATCTACCAATTTTACATATAGAAATTTAACCTAGGGATATACTTGTGAAATTACATAAAACTAAATTTATAAGAATGTTTATTATAGCAATATTAGTAATAAGAAAATTGGGAAAAAAACTAAATACCATTAATACTAAATAGATTATGGTAAAATCATGCTTTGTAGTCATTAAAAAGAATGAGATAGCTCTTTTTTAAAAAAATAGATTGTTTTCTATAGGCTCTGTGTGCTTGCTGGAGAGACGGAGAGACAGAGAAATAGAAAGCAAGAAATCACCTCTCAGGAGAATAGCCACGCTGCAATCTCTTCTCCATCCTCCTCTCGGGATTTTGGGCATACATGCACATGTACTTGGCATGAGTTGTAAGATGTTAGTCTGGGACTCAGACGGTAGTTGACAACATGGGAGTCCAGTGGCGTAACCATTTTGCCGTCATTATGCTGGTCCTGAGATATCTCTGTTTATGATGCCTTGATAAATGTCCAGTATAAAGTAAAAGAAGACAAGGGGCAGGCAAATTAATATGTGTAAGATTAGTTGTGGGAAAATTATATCCACAGATACAACTCACTTCATCTTTTCTACCTTTACTTCCACCCCTCTTCTGGATGGGAAGAATTCAATAGTAGCATTCCTCTATGCCTATGTATTTCAGGAGAAAGGATGAACATAATTGATTTGGTTCATGGGTGTGAGCCATTATTGCCTCCATTTTACATATTGTTAGTTCTGAAACTTTAGGTGGGTAATGATTAATTAATTTTTTAAAATTTTAATGCCAGAGGACACATGTACATGTGCTCCCTAGACAGAAAAGAGAAAAGAGTGAGAGAGAAAGAAAGTACTCCCTCACCCCTCAGATGGGGTATAGTCATGCTGCAATCTTTATTTCTCCATTTTTTCCCCATCTCATTAGGATTTTGGGCGCAAACACAAATGTACCTGGTACATTTTTCAAGCTACTGTATTACAGTTCCAACCAGGTTGATTATATGGGAATCCATTTCCCTATGCAAAGTGCTTAACTGCTGTGCCATGGGGATAGCCCAGTGATTCATTTATTTTCATTGATGAAAAAAATGTCATTATGTACTTTTTTTTTTTTTTTTGAGAGGTTTTCGCTATAGGGCGCATGCGTTCGCCAGACAGACAGAGAGAGACATAGAGCTAGAAAGCGAGAAATCACCCCCCAGAGGGGATGGTCACGCCGCAATTCCTTCTCCTCCATTCTCCTCTCGGGATCTTGGGCACACATGCACACACGCCTGGCATGAGTTTTAAGCCACCGGATCCGGGACGCGAACTGTGGTCGACAACGTGGGAGACCAGCGACATAGCCATTACACCAACTGCTGGTTCCCTCATTATGTGCTTTTTAGAGAAACTATTCGTGTTGTTGTTTGGTGCTATCTATAATTACAATGAGTGATAAAAGATTTTATAGTCCCTATTTTAAGATTCTCAGAATGCTGTAAGAGAATAAAATCGTGTCATTTACATTATAAGGGCCTGCGTGTCTTATGAAAAAGTAACAAAGTGACCCAGCAGTGTTAACATAAATGTAGGACATAGCCACAAGAAGCTGGGTCCACCTGGGAGGTTTAGGTTAGGATCTTAGATCAACCTGAACAGACCGGGGTGGTAGTTAACTGGGAGGCTGGGCAGTAGATTGCGACCTTAAGATACTGTCAAAAAAATGCCTCTCTCTCTCCTTTTCCATGTGCTCATTCTTCATCATTAAAAACAAAAATTTTCAAACATCTTCTATCAGATAATAGTTGGTGGAGTGGCAAGTACGCCACAAGATATGCAGAATTATGCTTCTTGCACATTTTTGGCTGCAAGTATGAAAGAAGGGCAGCAGGAAATTGAGAGAAATCAAAATTCTGTTCAACTTGGAGCAATTGAAGCCTGTGTGATGTGGCTGCTAGAAAATGAATTCATCCAGGTTGCAGAAGTTGGTGATGGAACAGAAGGTAAATATGATTTTTCAGCTGTAATTCACTCACTTTTCATCTTAGTTGTGTAAGGCTGCTCAGTAAAAGAAAATCGACTTTTCGAGTAGTTTACAAGGAAGTGTATATTTTTAGCAGTGTACCGACTCATTTTTGTTAGCTGTACTCATCAACTTTAGATAATTCACAGAGCCTGCTTAAAAATTTCCATGTGCTAGATATGATTCTGTTTGTAAATTTGTTAGAACCAAGAAGGTTAATTATGGAATATAGAAAGACAGTGTTTTGTTTTATTTTTAACATTTGTTCCTCTATTTCTCCACCCCACTCCCAAACCAGGAAAGGTATATCACCCAACACATCTTGGTTCAGCTACTCTTTCTTCTTCACTTTCTCCAACTGATACCTTAGATATTTTTGCTGACCTCCAAAGAGCAATGAAGGGCTTTGTTTTAGAGAATGACCTTCATATAGTCTATCTGGTAAGTTTTATTCTTAACTATTACATTTGTAAAGACGAGGAAGAAGTATGTATAGAATTCTGGGCATCAAAGATACCCCAGGGAACATCTTCTTTGTTTTCCTTGACTAGGTTAGTAGTGGTAGGAATAGAGAAGAAAAAGTCAGAAGACAGTTGTCTCACAGCAATAAACTAAATGTTCTAGTGACTTCTTCATCTATTTTCTCCAGTATCTTTTTTTTTTGGAGAGGTTTTCGCTTTAGGGCGCGTGCGCTCGCCAGACAGACAGAGAAAGACAGAGAGACAGAAAGCGAGAAATCACCCCACCAGGGGGGATGGCCACGCCGCAATTCCTTCTCCATTCTCCTCTTGGGATCTTGGGCACGCACGCACACATGCCCAGCGTGAGTTTTAAGCCACCGGGTCCGGGACACGAACCGCGGTCGACTACGTGGGAGTCCAGCGACACAGCCATTATGCTAACTGCTGGTTCCCTCCAGTATCTTTTCAAAAAGGATTAGAGGGGGCTGGCTCCATGGAGCAGGGGTAATGCACTGCTCAAGAGAAGCTAGATCTCACTTGATGACCATATTTCAAATCCCCAGCCTGCTCAGCCTGAAACATTCTTGGCACAGATGTGAGTGTCCAGGATCTAAGAGCTGAAACAGTGGAAGAAGGGAATCATGGCATGACCAAATTCTATGGAGGTTACCCGTTTTTCTCTCTTTTTGATATGCACATGTGCACACTTTATCATGAATAAAGAAAAAATTTTAAAAGGGATTTGAGGTGGTTTATAAATATATATACTTTATAATAAGTAAAGAGGATAGCAAAAACAATGGGCTATCCAAAAACTAAAGATAAGAACATAATGTAAAACTCAAGCAAAAGTTGGTACATATACATGCATTTCATTAGGTCATATATAGTTGTTACCTACTTCGATTTTGGGATTTTTTTTTTTTTTTTTTTTGGCAACTAAAAGGGGAGCTTGATTAGTTTCAATATTTATAATGTAAAATACAAAACAAGTTCAGGAAAAGCACTATATTTCACTGCCTAATAGAAATTTAGTACTAAAAAGACACTTTGGGATTTAAAATTTTTGATAAAACCTCTATAATAAATGCAATTAGGAATTTGAAGGATTTTTTTTGTTTGTTTGTTTTTTAATGTTAGGCCCTACATTGTTGGTACAATCAGTATATACTAAACTGCAGTTCTGGAAGCCACAGGACTGACTGTGGGTCTGGATCCATGGTCCAGCTTACCTGACACATGCTGGTGATGCATATTTGATCCTGATCAGCAAGAGGGTTTAGAGAAGGGGACTGTGGTTGATGATACACTATTGAAGGAGTTTCTTTTAGTCATGCTATCATGAAAAAAATAAAACTTTAAAAAGATTTTTATGTAAAACAATTCTTTATGAATATTATTCTTTATTGAAAAGGTTTTGGTATAAATTAGACAAGAAAGAGTTTAAGGTCATATTTTCTGACCAGAACCTGACCAGAAATAATTTATTTTGTCAATTAAGAGCAGATGTATGCATTTTGATAAGCAAATGAAAGGGAGGAATTGAAATTCTCATTAGAATAAAGATTTATCAGCAAACATGTTTCAATAAACAATATTGTGAGCAGAAAGGAAATGTCTAGACAGTAGCTAGACAGTAGCATTTTTTCCCCTTAAACACGTGTGTAATCATGGGTGAAAACAGGCTCAAAGTTCTGTACCCTGTCATTTACTATGGCTTAAAAATAAGTTTCATTTGCTATACAGTGACTAAGTTTCTAGACACTAGGGTCAGACTGCCTTGTTTTAGTTTTTGGTCTCTTAGTAACCATACAGTCTTGCATAAGTACTTAACCTCTCTCTCTCTCTCTCTCTCTTTTGGAATTATTTATTTATTTATTTTTATTTGTTACTTTTATTTTTAATTTGACCAGAAAGAGAGAGAAAAGGAAAGTGAGAAAGCAAGCTACCAGGTCTGGGACTCAAACCACAGGACTACCATATGGGAGTCCAGTGCCTTAGCCACCATGCCAACTCCCGGTCCCAGTACTTAACCTCTCTTAAGATTCTGTTTCCTGGGACCAGCAGTTAGCGTAATGGCTATGTCACTGTACTCCCACGTAGTTGACCACGGTTCGAGTCCCGGACCCGGTGGCTTAAACTCACACCGGGTGCATGTGCATGTGTGCCCAAGATCCTGAGAGGAGAATGGAGGAGCAGGGATTGCGGGGTGGCCATCCCTCCTGGTGGGTGATTTCTCACTTTCTGTCTCTATGTCTCTCTCTGTCTGTCTGGCGAGTGCACGTGCCCTATAGCAAAAACCTATCCAAAATAAAAAAGATTCTGTTTCCTCATTTGTAAAACGAAGAGACTCATAAAACCTGTGTAAGGACTGATTATTATTATTTTTTTTTTTGGAGAGGAGAGGTTTTTGCTATAGGGCACGTGCACTCGCCAGACAGACAGAG